CTGATTTTAAGAGAAAGCAGAGTTTAAGATGGAAATGGAGATTTATCTTACAGAGAGATTTGTGAGGGAATTAATCTGTTTGACCAGAAACGTTGCACGCTCCATCAGATCTCAGCTTGCGACGGTACACTCGGTTGAAGTAGATCGTTACCTGGTTGATGATAAATCAGCTCGGTATAGAATCCTTCAGACTCTTTCAGCGTCTCCGTTGAGCAGCTGAAATCCTTCGAGAGTCGTACGAGGTTGTTCAAACAGAAGTTATAATCCCAAAACGTCTCTGGATCATCCTGAACGCGTTTGCATCCAAGAACTCTAACTCCATCAACTCATCAGCACTCTGTGTGGAACTCTCAGAGCTCTGCAGCATCAGACTCTTTTTAGCTCCATTAATCTTCAGCGTCTGGCTTCAGACTTCAGATTCCAGCACTCTCTAACAAGAACCGGGAAGTTGCCACATTTTAAATGAGTTGACTTCCGGGTCAATTTAGAGCTTTCTGATTGGTCGATGGACCAGGAAAAGGTGTGGTTTGTGATGTAAGGTGTTATGAAAAGTCGAGGTCAGAGAATGAGATTGTTCAACAACTAACAGAAAGATTACTGCGTAAAATCAGACTTCGTGGAGTCTCACTCTGCTGTATCTTCTCAAATAGTTAAACATGACATTTTTTCTCAGTAAACATTTTAGTTGACCGAGAACCGACCTTTAACATACTTACAAAACTTGGCTCATTGCAGACAGAAAAATCAAGAAATGCATATTAACCTGATTTCTTCTTTGAATGAGGAATAAAAATCATTACTTACTGTTTATGTAAAATAAAAATGAGTAGTTCTCTTCAACCTGTAAACATTGAGTGAACTAACACAATTTGATTATCAAACATTTGTAAAATAGTAATGATCATAGAGAATTGTCTTTTCTGCTTGATTAATTCAAGAAAGAAAGTCACCAGATGGCTCAAACTGTATTTCTGGATGCAGATCAATGAAATAACAGTCTGAGGTCAGATCAGGTTCACTACATAACTGAGAAGAATAGCATTTTCCTCATAGCCCCATTTGGAGAGTTGTGCCTGTCAGGCAAGAGTCAGGGCTCACTAACCCCCGAAAAATCTCGGAGGAAGGACCCCACGTCTTCAGGGTCTTGAAGAACTTTGTCTCCCCATCCGGCAGGACCACTCTTAGGGGTTGCTGGGTACAGAAGACTAAACTGCAATTTTTTTGCATGTAGTTTCTTCTTGACAGTATTATATTCCTTCCTCCGCCTCACCAGGCTCGCGCTGAGATCTGGGAAGAACATCACAGGTGCTCCGCTGAAGGTAACAGGTTCACCCTTTTCTCTGGATGTCTTGGCGGCCGTACGAAGGATCTTATCCCGGTCTTGGTATTTAAGCAAACTGATGAGAATGGGTCTGGGCTGTTCCACCCTTTGCATGTTAAATGTAGGAGATCGATGTGCCTGTTCAATCACTGGGGGAACTGTGAAATGTTATTTTCCCAGCACCGAGGGGATCCACTTCATGAAGAACTGTCTGTTCCTTTCCCTCAAGGCCTTCGGGCAGGTTAATTATGCGGATGTTGTTATGCCAGCTTTGGTTTTCCAGTTTGTCCACTTAATCAATTAGAAAGTCTTTATCTTTAATGAGGCGCTGAACATGAGATTCCAGTTTGGTTAACTTATCCTCGGCTGTGTTAATCCATTCCTCCGCCTCTGTGATTCAGGAACCCAGGCCATCTATCATAGATTTCAGGCCGGAGATGGATTGATTAATGTCAGCAGTTTTGGTGTCAAGTTTGTCAGAGTTAGCTTGTGTGGATTTTCTCCGGGTACTCTAGTTTCCTCCCACAGACCAAAAACATGCATGTTAGGCGGCCTTCAGGCCAAGGCCTCCCTTGCAAAAGAGATCTGTGATCTCAATGGGATTTGCCTGGCTAAATAAAGCTTAATAATAAATAATAATGTCCTAGTAGATGCTGTGTTGACTGCAGACTTCAGAAAACCCAGTGGACCAGCACTAGCTGACGACATGGCACCAAGCCATCACTGACTGTGGAAACTTCACACTGGACTTCAAGTGACATGGATTCTGTGCCTCTCCACTCTTCCTCCAGACTCTGGGACCTTGATTTCTAAACGACTTGCAAAAAAAAAAAAAAAAAAACATTAGCTAGCAACTAAACTAGCATTTGTTTATTTTTCCTGCTGCACCGCACCATACTTTAAACATACTGTTACACCTCCGGCTACCACCAAATAAGAGAAAGCATGAAGACCAGGGAACTATGAACACACTTTGGAGGTAAAGTTGTGGCAGATCAGGGTTGAGGTAAAAAAAAAAAAAGTTGAGGTTTAATTAAAAATGGCTTTGTTGTGAATTGCTAAGAAATTTTGTAGATTGGACCAGTTTGAAAATGGTATCTGTTTTGTTCCATTGTTATTGTTATGTTAAAATAAATCTCAGAATTTAGCCTATTTTAATTAAGAGTGCATTTTTTTCCTCTCAGGCTCTCACTCAAGGTGGCTGCTTCTGTCTTTCCTCCCCCGTTTTTCCTTCTTCCTGCTCTGCTCTCTGTGTGTCTGAAGCGCCTGGTACACATCTCCCGAACGTAAATTAAGATTATGGATCTGGTATCGTGGGTGTTCAACTCTATTGATAAGATTTTTTTCATCAAAACGACAAGGTCCTGGAGAACCTGCATGTCCAGCTGAGACTCACGCTGTGGGGTACGTCATGGACCCATGGGGAGTGTGGCAGCTGATGTGCCTCTCAGTCCTGTCGCAGGAGGATGTTGAAGACGTTCACATATTTGGAATTATGATAGCAGGGACTCGGCGTTTTGGCATCGGGGGGGGGGGGGGGGGGGCTCTGTTTTATCGACTTTTGAAGAAGACATCGCAGCAGTTTCAGCCATGGAAAAGCTTTCGAGTCAGTGTGAAGGTTTGGTCCGTGCTGTAGGAACTCTAAATCAACTGGTTTACGAGCTAAACCGTAAGGTGGAGGCGATTTATGAGAATCGCAGGCCACCTGTGGCTACTGGGACTCATCAGTGTGGTGGGTTTGACCTTGAAGGAGACTCATAGCATGGATCAGTGGAATGTAATCCCACAATTAGGCTATTTCAGAACCAGAACGTCAAGATGGACTCAAAGCTAAAGAAAAAGTAATTTGTCTGCCTGAAGAAAATCAACGCTCAAAGCTTATCTGAATCTGACTCCCGATGGCCTTGGAAACGGGCCGACTTATCAAATTTCTCCTGGGTCATGGGTAACCAAGGACAAAAGCTTCCATCTATCACACAACACCCCCCCCCCCCCCCAGAACTTTCTGTGCAAGCTTATCAGAACTGTCGGCTGAAACATCATCATCAGAACTGTAGCTGATCTGAAGAAACGCTCATGAACAAATCTCAACACCTTGACGTCAAATGCAAATGTAATCATGTTTGAATTGTGCTGCTGGTAGAGTTTTTTGATGTTTCGAATAGTGTCCTGATAGACAAGATGTGAAAGATCTTTTTTTGTAATACCATTATCTACCCTCATGTTTCTCCCCCTTTGCCTATCTAAGGTTATTATTCTGAAAAAGGATAAGAGAGGCTGCGTTTAGTTATAGTAGCAGCTTCATGCACTCTGTCCATCTTCCGGATGACTGCATGTACATGTTCTCGTTGTATCTCAGTGCAATGATAATAAAGCTTATTCTGATTCTGATTATTCTTGCAAGAAGGAATGTATATTAAATGCACCAACGGTTCAAACAATACAAGCCATAACAGCAATTCACTGTAAACTAGAGAAATTGCATTTCCTACGAAAATGCAGTGTGAATGCTTTTTGCAGAAGAACTTCCTGTAAAACAGATGAAATTAGCTACAAAACATGATGAAATGTAGCTGAAAATGAAGAACAAGCTCAAGAAAGCAGAAAGAATACATATTTGCTGGATTAGGTTTAAATAAGCCAAAATTAGCAAAAAATTAGGAAATGAGCAAAAAAACACTGAAATTAGCCAAATACAGCAGAAAATTAGCTGAAAAGGCAGAAAGAATCTTAAATTAATATAGGGAAGTGAAAAAGTTGTAATAATGTAGCTGAAAATGTGTAATTAGCTGGAAAAGTTAAATTTGGTATAAAACTGCTAAATAGTAGCTGAGATAGCAGAAAAAGATGAAACTAGCAGAAATAAACTGAAAAAAGCATAACCAGCTGAAATTAGCAGAAAGAAGTTAATTAGGTTGAAAGTAGCAAAAATTACCACAAAATAATGAATTTATCCGAAATCCTCTGTAATTAGCTAAAAATGCTAAAAAGCTAGTTAAAAAGCTAGCTAAAAATAAGTGTTTTATTAGTACCCCAGCTTAAATCAGCAGAAATAGCATGTTTGCCCAATTAGGCTGAAAGAAGCAGAAATGAGCACAAAGAAGTAGAAATTATCTGACAAAAAGCTTAAATAAGCAAAAAAAACAGCTGAAAAGTAGCTAAACAAAAGCAGAATGAAGCTTAAATTACCAGAAGGAAGATGAAGAGCACATTTTTGCTCAGTTAGGCTGAAGAAAGTTTAAATGAGTGCAACAAATGTGGAATTTGCTGAAAAAGCTAAAATTAGCATGAAACAGCTAAATAGTAGTTGAAGTAGCAGAAAAGGCTGAAACTTGCATAAATTAGCTGAAAGGATCATAAGCTGAAATTAGCAGAAAGAAGTTAGAAGAAACCCACAAATGTTGTAGTTAGCAGAAAGATCCTGAAAGGAGCAAAAAGCAGCTGAAAGAACAGCTGAAAGTAGCTGAAAAAATGTTTTAATTTGCACAAGGTAGCCCAAAGTCCCATAGTGGACTGATGCATTGGCCTAAAATCGTCCTCTTGTCCTAGAGTCTTTGTGGAATCTTTTGAACCTTTGGTATAAAGTGAAACCAACTCACCTTTGCCAAAGTAAAGGGTTGGTTTCATGTTTCAGACATAATATTCTGAAGTTATAAGTGAACTGTTTTGTGTCCCACAGAGCGCCAGCTGACAGTGTCACATCGAGGCGAGAACAGAAGCGAGCTCAGTACAAACAGGTCAGAGCTCACGTTCAGAAGGAGGACAGCCGGGTGCAAGCATACGGCTGGAGCTTACCCAAGAAATACAAAGTATGAAGTGTTGGGTTTTTTTTTTATTTGCACCCCATTTTTACGGTACCCATTGCTTTTTGAAATGGCAGAATTGCACGAGACATGATCCATAACACAGTACTGCTTTTTATTAAAAAAAATGTTTTCAGGTCAGTGGTGCTCAGGCAGAGAGCAAGATGAAGAATCTACCTGTTCCTGTCTTCCTCAGACCTTTGGATGAAAAAGATCCTTCTATGAAGGTGTTTCCTCCATCTTCTAATCATATTTTTGTATTTGCAAAATCTTGGCCCAAAACCGTCAAACATACCGACTTGGAAAAAAATGAACAAGCTGTTTAAAATAATGACATAAAGGAGTTTGTAATAATCTAACTAGAGAAAATGCATTTCCTGTGAAAATGCAGTGTGAATGATTATTGCAGAAGAATTTGCTAAAAAAAAATAAAAATAAAAAAACAGCATACAGGTCCTTCTCAAAAAATTAGCATATTGTGATAAAGGTCATTATTTTCCATAATGTAATGATAAAAATGAAACTTTCATATATTTCAGATTCATTGCACACCAACTGAAATATTTCAGGTCTTTAATTGTTTTAATACTGATGATTATGGCATACAGCTCATGAAAACCCAAAATGCCTGTCCCAAAAAATGAGCATATTTCATCCCACCAATGAAAGACAAGTGTTTTTAATACAAAAAACACCAACCTTCAAATAATCATGTTCAGTTATGCACTCAATACTTGGTCGGGAATCCTTTTGCATGAATGACTGCTTCAGTGCGGCGTGGCATGGAGGCAATCAGCCTGTGGCACTGCTGAGGTGTTATGGAGGCCCAGGATGCTTCAATAGCGGCCTTAAGCTCATCCAGAGTGTTGGGTCTTGTTCTCTCAACTTTCTCTTCACAATATCCCACAGGTTCTCTATGGGGTTCAGGTCAGGAGAGTTGGCAGGCCAATTGAGCACAGTAATACCATGGTCAGTAAACCATTTACCAGTGGTTTTGGCACTGTGAGCAGGTGCCAGGTCGTGCTGAAAAATGAAATCTTCATCTCCATAAAGCTTTTCAGCAGATGGAAGCATGAAGTGCTCCAAAATCTCCTGATAGCTAGCTGCATTGACCCTGCCCTTGATAAAACACAGTGGACCAACACCAGCAGCTGACATGGCACCCCAGACCATCACTGACTGTGGGTGCTTCACACTGGACTTCTGGCATTTTGACATTTCCTTCTCCCCAGTCTTCCTCCAGACTCTGGCACCTTGATTTCCGAATGACATGCAAAAGTGCTGCTTCTCTGTAGCCCAGGTCAGGCACTTCTGCCGCTGTTTCTGGTTCAAGAGTGGCTTGACCTGGGGAATGCGGCACCTGTAGCCCATTTCCTGCACACGCATGTGCACGGTGGCTCTGGATGTTTCTACTCCAGACTCAGTCCACTGCTTCCGCAGGTCCCCCAAGGTCTGGAATCGGCCCTTCTCCACAATCCTCCTCAGGGTCCGGTCACCTCTTCTCGTTGTGCAGCGTTTTCTGCCACACTTTTCCCTTCCCACAGACTTCCCACTGAGGTGCCTTGATACAGCACTCTGGGAACAGCCTATTCGTTCAGCAATTTCTTTCTGTGTCTTACCCTCTTGCTTGAGAGTGTCAATGATGGCCTTCTGGACAGCAGTCAGGTCGGCAGTCTTACCCATGATTGTGGTTTTGAATAATGAACAAGGCTGGGAGTTTTTAAAAGCCTCAGGAATCTTTTGCAGGTGTTTAGAGTTACGTCGTTGATTCAGGTGGTTAGGTTAATAGCTTGTTTAGAGAAGCTTTTCATGATATGCTCATTTTTTGAGACAGGCATTTTGGGTTTTCATGAGCTGTATGCCATAATCATCAGTATTAAAACAATTAAAGACCTGAAATATTTCAGTTGGTGTGCAATGAATCTGAAATATATGAAAGTTTCATTTTTATCATTACATTATGGAAAATAATGACCTTTATCACAATATGCTAATTTTTTGAGAAGGACCTGTAAAGTAGCTAAAAAAAAAAAAGTACTTAAATGTAGTTGAAATGGAAGAACAAGCCTAAATTAGCAGAAGAAAGCAGAAACAACACATATTTGCTGAATTAGATTTAAATAAGCAGGAATTATTACAAAATCAAGGAAATGAGCAAAAAAAAAATCTGAAATGAGCAAAAAATTGCCAAAAAGTATCTGAAAATGCAGAAGCTTAAGCCACCAGAAGTACTAAGTAGAAAGAACTATAATGAGCTCAGAAAATGTGGAATTAGCTGAAACGGCTAAATTAGCATTAAAAGAGCTAAATAGTAGCTGAAAGAACAGAAAAAGCTGAAACTAGCAGAAAAATCTGGATGGATCATAACAAGTTAAAATTAGCATAAATAAGTTAATTAGGCAGAAAATAGCAGAAATTAACATGAAAAACTTGAATTTATCTTAAACTGCTGAAGTTAGCTAAAAATGTTAAAAAGCTAGCTGAAAAGTTAGAACAAGCTTAAAATAGCAGAAGAAAGCAGAAAGAACATGTTTGCCCAGTTATGCTGAAAGAAGCAGAAATGAGTACAAAAAAGTGGAAATCGTCTGAAAAAAGCTGAAATTAGCAACAACAAAGAAACACAACTGGAAAGTAGCTAAAAAAAAGGCAGAAAGAAACTTGTGTTACCAGAAGAAAGTGGAGAGAGCACATTTTTGGTGAATTAGGCTGAAAAAAGCCGGAAAAGGGTAGAGTGCCAGCTGAGTGAAGCTGACACCCCACCCACTTCCAAAATTAAAGCAACTGGTCTGAATGGTTAGTGCTCCGTTAGTGCTGGTTTGTGCCGTTAAAATTTTCGTTTGTGCTGCTTTGCTTTATGAGATATTAAAAGTTATAATTTTGACCTGTAATAGACGCTCAGGCGCGTTCACGCACACGTCAGGGCAGAGCGTTTACTTAAGGCGGGCGCGCGCTCCGGCTGTAATTGTGTGGATCAGATTTGACAACAAAAACACAACTGTCGTAAATGTTTCCTTTTAGTACCTGATTGCGGTTATAAAGGACGCGTGAACGCGCCTGAGCGTCTATCACAGGTCAAAATTATAACTTTTAATATCTCATAAAACAAAGCAGCACAAACGAAAATTTTAACGGCACAAACCAGCACTAACGGAGCACTAACCATTCAGACCAGTTGCTTTAATTTTGGAAGTGGGTGGGGTGTCAGCTTCACTCAGCTTAGAGTGCCCTCTCTGGGTCAGGGAGGAGGTCCTGCCCCTACTGGAGGAGTTCAAGTATCTTGGGGTCTTGTTCACGAATGAGGGAAAAATGGAGCGTGAGATGGATAGGCGGATTGGTGCAGCGTCTGCAGTGAAGTAGGCGCTGTATCAGTCTGTCGTGGTGAAGAGAGAGCTGAGTCAAAAGGCGAAGCTCTCAATTTACCGATCGATCTACGTTTCTACCCTCATCTATGGTTAGGATGCCTCCTGGACGCCTCCCTGGTGAGGTGTTCCGGACACGTCCCACCGGGAGGAGACCCAGAAGAAGACCCAGGACACGCTGGAGGGACTATGTTTCTCGGCTGACCTGGGAACGCCTCGGGATTCCCCTGGAGGAGCTGGACCAAGTGGCTGCAGAGAGGGGAGTCTGGGCCTCCCTACTTAGGCTGCTACCTTCGCAACTCGACCCCGGATAAGCAGAAGAAAATGGATGGATGGATGGATGGATGGATGGATGGATGGATGGATGGATGGATGGATGGATGGGCTGAAAAAAGTTGAAAGGGGTGCAGGAATGTGGAATTTGCTGAAAAAGCTAAAATTAGCATAAAAACATTAAATAGTAGCTGAAATAACTTAAACTAGCATAAATAAGCTGAAAGTGGCATAACAAGCTGAAATTAGCATTGAAAAATGTTATTACCGGTAGGCAACATAACTGGTTTGTTCCACTTTGGAGTAAGCTGTTGGGGGAAGAATCAGTTTTGTTGTGCGTTTCCTTGACTGATGAAGCCTTCCGGATCGAAGGCGAAACGTTTCAGCACAAAAAAAGAAATTGTCCAGACCTGACTGAAAAATGTTGGATAGGCTGAAAAAAGTTTAAATGAGTGCAACAAATGTGGAATATGCTGAAAAAGCTAAAATTAGCATGAAACAGCTAAATAGTAGCTGAAATAGCAGAAAAGGCTGAAACTTGCATTAAGTAGCTGAAAGGATCAAAATAAGCTGAAATTAGCAGAAAGAAGTTAAAGAAGCCCAAAAATGTTGTAGATAGCAGAAAGAATTTTAAAGGACCATGACATATCTGAAGAAAAAAACCAGCTCACATTAGCTGGAAGGACAGTAACTGAATAAAAGTTTAAATATGCACAAAGAATCTGAACCAGAACAAAATGTGAAAGGAGCAATTAAAAGTTTTAAACAGCTCTAAAGATTTAATTAAAGGATGTGAAATGAGCTCAATTCATTGTCTATTAGGGAAAAAAATGGCAGAAAAGGCTAAATATTTCAAAAAGATAAAGTTGCACCATAACCAAAATTCATAACACTTTTCCTGAACAAGTTGAACGTTTTGATATACTGTGTTGCTTTTTGAAATAGGGCAAAAATTGTGGAACGAGAAAGATGCCGAAAACTGTGCGGAACAAAATTGTACCACAATTGTGTGAATGCTTTTGAAGCATTCACACAATTATACTAATGTAATCAAGTGTCAAATTATTGATAATCTAAGAAAAGAAAACGTGGGTGTAGTACACTGCCTGGCCCAAAAAAAAAGTCACCGCCAGAAAAAAAGGTCACACACTAATATTTTGTTGGACGGCCTTTAGCTTTGATTATTGCATGTATTCACTGTGGCATTGTTTCAATAAACTTCTGCAATGTCACAAGATCTATTTCATCTAGTGTTGCATTAATTTTTCACCAAGATCTTACGTTGATGTTGGCAGATTCTGACCACTGTGCAAAGCCTTCTCCCAGCACATCCCAAAGATTCTTAATGGGGTTAAGGACTGGACTCTGTGGTGGCCAATCCATGTGTGAAAATTATGTCTCATGCTCCCAGAACCATTCTTTCACAATTCAAACCCGATAAACCCTGGTATTGTCATCTTGGAATAAGCCACTGCCATCAGGGAAGAAAAAAATCTCTTCATGGAATAATCTGGTTATTCAGAATATTTAGGTAGTCGGCTGACCTCATTCTTTGAGCATGTCTTGTTGCTGAACCTAGACCTGACCAACTGCAGCAACCCCACATCATAACACTGCCCCAACAGGCTTGTACAGTAGACACCAGGCATGATGGGTGCATCACTTCTCCTGCCTCTCTTCTTACCCTGATGTGCCCATCACTCTGGAACAGGGTCAATTTGGACTCATCAGACCACATGACCTTCTTCCATTGCTCCAGAGTCCAATCTTTATGCTCCCTAGCAAATTGAAGCCTTTGTTTCCAGTTGGCCTCACTGATTAGTGGTTTTCTTAAGACTACACAGCTGTTCAGTCCCAATCCCTTGAGTTCCCCTTGCATTGTGTGTGTGGAAATGTTCTTACTTTCACTATTAAACATAGCCCTGAGTGCTGCTGGTGTTTTTCTTCCATTTCATTTCACCAAATGTTTAAGTGATCGCCGATCACGATCATTCAGGATTTTTTCCAGCCACATTTCTTCCTCAAAAACGATGGGTCCCCACTATCTTCGTTTTTAATAATGTGTTGGACAGTTCTTAACCCAGTTCTAGTAGTTTCTACAATCTCCTGAGATGTTTCCTCTGTTTGATGCCAATGATTTGACCCTTCTCAAACAGACTGACATCTTTTCCACGGCCACGCCATGTGTCTTTCGACATGGTTGTTGAAGAAATGAGAAGCAACTCATTGCACCAATTGGGGTTAAATAACTTGTTGCAGCTGAAAGATAATCGCCCATGCAATAATTATCCAACAGGAGGCTCGTACCTATTTGCTTTTAAATCCAGGTGCCAGGCAGGCAGTGTATTTGTGTGTTTTGTTGTATTTCACTTCTGTAACCATGTGTCTCTCCTTTAGCTGTGGTGTGCTGCTGGTGTGAATCTGTCTGGAGGGAAAACCAGAGATGGGGGGTCCATAGTGGGGGCCAGTGTGTTTTACCATGACTCATCAGGCCCAGAGTGTCCTAAAAAGAAGACCGGATCTCAAAGTAGCCTTGATAAATTGGATCAAGAACTTAAAGTAAGCAAACCCAACTTTATTCTTCTGTTTTAGATGCAGAATTAATCAGATATTTACCGTAATTCTCGGGCTAGAAAACACACCTGTGTATAAGCTGCACATATTAAATATAAGTTAAATCATAATTTTGTACATAAATAAGACGCCCCAGCTGTGAAGCTGCGTGTGTCCACTGTACAGTGAATGAAAGTGTGCAGCTCTACCTGTTTTGTACTTGTAGTACAAAAATCACCCACTTGATGGGATTCACAGACTATTGCTTGCATTTAAAATAAATGAAGCTGGAATGGTGATCCCAGGTATACTTGAAGCTTCAGTATTTAACTCATGGTAACAACCATTATACCTTCAAAATGAACAAAATACCATTAAATATTTACTGGTAAGCATAATCACTGGACATTAAAGTGCCAAACACCTACGTAACTGAAATTATTTAAAAATTATATTGTTACGACCCGGCTCAGCTAGGAGAAGGGGAGGCAACATTAGAAACCCAGATGGAACAGGTTTGAATAAAATTAATAATTTAATTGGTCAGTTTAAAACAAAATTTAACATTAACAAAGAGGAGGGGTACTTTCAAAATACAAATTACAACAAAGTTTTCACAACCAAGTCAATAACAAAATTAAGGTTAACCAAGTGAACGAATACTCAAACCAAATTTACAATGAGTCAAAACAAAAAGTAAACAAGTAAGCCTTCTAACTGTTTTCAGGTGCTTACAAACAACACCAACTACCAACAGCAACTGCAGGGTTTAATTGTTGGCCAAAGCCAAACAATACACATCAAGAGACTCAAGTCCAAAGACACAGAAACCCATACTAATGGCGAGCTGCTCTAAACAACAGCCACCCTGAATGGCAGGAGAGCTGGGTTTAAATAGGCAGGCCTCTTCTGTGGTTGGAGGAGCAGGAGGTGAAGAAGCCAACCAGGATGCAGATTGATGTCCATTGGGGAGGATTCAGGAAGTGAAGCAGCCAATCCCAGATGGGCCACAGCACAGCTGAGTCAGCAATCAACCTGCAAACACGTTTGCTCAACCAAATGGCCTCAGGCCGTAACAATATACCGGGAAATACTACCCAGAAGTCTTAACGGGGGTCATGTGACCGTAAGTGAAATACCATAGTACAATAATAATTATAATAACTTTTATTTATAATGCACTTTACATTCACAGTAAATCTCAAAGTGCTACAAAGAGTGAACATCAGATAACATCAAAGTACAGATAAAATGTGGTAAATATTCATGAAATCACTGGTAGTACCAATGATTTTGTTGTTAAACAGTATTGGTATCAGCTGCTGTTTTTAAATCTACCTTTACTTTCTAAATTATCTTATCTTAAATTAATATGACGGGATTTCTCTTCAGCGCTAATGAGGATGGGAAGGGAGTTCAAAAAGCGTTCAATACAAAAACAACTGGACTTTATTTGTAACGAGACGTTTCGCTCCTCATCCGAGGAGCTTTCTCAATTCAAAGAGCAGAGAGTGAGAGATACAGGTTATAAGGCTGAGTGAGATAAGACACACACACATATGTAGATTGGCAGTTCACACCTAAACACCTAAACAGTAGGTCTTTGTTCCTCTAATTCACAGACGAGGCCCCTCTGTTCCCATCAGGTGTGAAAACCGGCTGGGAATCTGTTTTAAAGTTGCATTACAAGTTTTTAAAAGTGGAAATCTGAGGCCTCCTCCTCTGTTAAGAGACAGAGTCAGAGTCAGAGTTTCTTTATTGTCATTCGCACCTCATGTGGTACATGTGGTGGAGCGAAATTATGTACACGGGGTCCCAGTTACATCCAACAATAAAATGTCTAAGAAAAACAGTAATAACATCTAAGATATGAACTAAGAAAAACATCAACTAAATATACACTAAGCACTCATAACATAAAACATTGAACATCACCACAAACATGAACATGAGTCTGTGAGCAGATGTGCACGCATGAACACATCAACATTGAAACAGATCAGCAGCAACATGAAACAGATCAGCAGCAACATGATATGGTTTTTCACAGTGATTATTCTAGTTAGAGATTCATGAGTCTAACAGCCTCAGGGTAGAAGCTGTTCCTCAGTCTAGTGGTTCTACACTTAATGCTCCTTAACCTCCTTCCTGAGGGGAGTGGGGCAAAAAGTGTGTGTGCTGGGTGGGTGGGGTCCTTCATGATGCAGGTGGCCCTCTTCCTGCATCTGGAGGTGTAGATGTCTGTGATGGTGGGGAGACTGATTCTGACAGATTTCTGTGCAGCCTTCACCACTCTCTGCAAAGCTTTTCTTTCTGCAGCTGTGCAGCCTCCATGCCACACGTTGATGCTGGAGCACAGGATGCTCTCCACTGCACACCTGTAGAAGGAGGTGAGGACTGAGCTTCCCAGACCAGCTCGCCTCAGCCGTCTGAGGAAGTAGAGTCTCTGATGAGCTTTCTTGATCAGGCTGGTGGTGTTGTTGCTCCAGCTGAGGTTGTCATTCATGTGTACACCCAAGTACTTGTAGCTGGAGACCACTTCCACCGCAGATCCTCTTATGTTCAGGGGGGTGTAGGTGTTTTTGTTCCTTCTGAAGTCCACAATCATCTCCTTTGTCTTCTTCACATTGATGTGAAGGTTATTCTCTCTGCACCAGCTCTCCAGGTGTTCCACCTCTTGCCTGTAGCTGGACTCATCATTGTTTGTGATGCATCCCACCACCACTGTATCATCTGCAAACTTTACAATGTGACAGCCTGGATGGGTAGCTGCACAATCATATGTGAGCAGAGTAAACAGGAGGGGGCTCAACACACATCCCTGAGGTGAGCCAGTGCTGAGGGTTATGGTGGAGGAGGAGAGGTTGTGGATCCTCACTAACTATGGTCTGTTTGTTAAAAAGTCTAGTACCCAGTTGCAGATGGAGGGGCTTAGTCCTAGTGTGGATAGTTTGTCCATCAGGGTTTGGGGGATCATGGTGTTGAAGGCGGATGTGAAGTCCACAAAGAGCATACGGACGTAAGAGTTTTTCTGCTCCAGGTGGTTGAGCGCAGTGTGGACCACAGAGGAGATGGCATCCTCTTTTG